TCGCGTACCGTCTTGATGTGGGGGCGGAATGTCATCCTACTGTCGAGGGTGACGCCTAAATATTTGACCTTCGGGGCCCACGGTATGGGCTGGTCGAACATCGTGATTGGGCGAACGGCGGGGGCGGGGGTGTTGACGCGCCTAGTCGGGAGAGGGATGCTCAGCGTGGTGTTCGGAGGGCGACCCCTTTTGAAGAGCACCGCTGTGCTTTTCGTGGGGTTAATGTCGATGCGCCACTTCCGGAACCACTGTCCCATGGTGGTAGCTGCGGTCTGAAGTCGTCGATGAAGCAACGCCTTCTTCCTACACGAGTAGTAGATGGCGGTGTCATCGGCGAAGAGCGCCAGATGGGTCTCCGGAGACCGGGGTATATCGTTGATATACAAACTGAATAGTAACGGGGAGAGGGCGGAGCCTTGCGGGACTCCGGCTGTGACGTGACGGGGCCGGGAACGCGTTCCCTCGACTCGATATCGGAACGAACGGTTCGACAAGTAGTCTCGTATGATGAGCACGAGTCTGTCTGGCACTCCCATGTTATACAGTTTGTATATCAAACCGTTGTGCCAGACTTTGTCGAACGCCTTCGCTATATCGAAGAAGAGGGCTCCTGTCGGAATGGACGATGGATCGGGAGGATCCGCAATGATGTGTTTAGGGCCGTTTTTTTGAGTTTACCTGAATATTTGACAGACTTGGATTTAGCTGCCTTTGATTTTATAGGCCTCAATTCAAACACAATAAAAAGGCCCCAATGCCTAAGTTCCACATTGAATGCTTTGTGGTCCACCAGTGGGCCTAGCACATATTCAGGCTAAACGAAAATCAGGGAATCAATAGTTTATCAACTTGAGATTTTCATTGTAATATTTATAATATAAAATGGGATAGTTTTCACAGAAGATAAAAATTAGAGACTTACTGACTAGTTTTTATGTTATTTTAAAAGGCTACTTAATCTTCATAAAAACTAGAACTTTCTATTGGATTTAAAAACAAAGGTTTGATTTTTCTAATACTCAATTACTCGATCTAAAATACTCATTTTTTCATGTGTCTATTACTTAATGATTTAGGGACTTTAAGATGCCGCTGAACATGAAGTATTTAAAGACAATATTATTATAAAAATAATATGTTAGTAATGATTTTAGTAATAAAATGATTTACTATTATCTATTGTACGTTTGGCACTAAAATTGTGCAACTATTTTAATATTGTTTTTATTTATTTTGTTTTTTGTTAAGTGGTTACTGGAGCTCATAGACATCTACAACGTAAATGCCGCCACCCACCTTGAGATATTATGAGTTCTAAGGTCTCAGTATAGTTACAACGGCTGTCCCACCCTTCAAACTGAAACGCATTACTGCTTCACAGCAGGAAATAGGCAGGGTGGTAGTACCTACCCGTGTAGACTTACAAGATGTCAAGTAATAATTTTAGATTTTAATTCAACAGACTGTTGTACGAAATATTGGCGATGGCGATACCTTAGTGAATGGAGAGCCTGTGAGTGTGGCAGCGCTTAAGCACTATGATGTGATTACTTTAGGTGATCGATCTCTACGCTGGCATTATGACAATCCAAATATCAGTAAAAAATTCCAGAAGATTGAACAAGGTATGATATTGTTGATTATGAAATTCTTAAAAAACATTATAAGCAAGTACAGTTTTCCTTAATTTCCTTATTTATGATTTGTTTGTAGTTTTTTTTCTCTTTTTCTTGAGTAAACTTCTTTCATCATTTATGTTGTGTCTCTGTGCTAGTGTGAATTCGGGTAATTGTGGGAAATGTAAGTGCCAGTCACTGTACAGTTTATCAGCTGTGAAACATTTTTGTGTGCTGGAAGCTATGGCAATATAATACAAATTAATCAAAGTCTATTCAATTTTTCAAAGAAGCTTTCATGTTACGCCTGTGGCTTGTTTGTCTGCGAGCTAGGTAATCGAGCTACAGAAAATCTTCATGCATTGTTCGGTTATTGTAAATAAAGTTAGACATACCCGATCTTGTCGACTGAATGGTTAACAGTCGACGTCGCTCTAATCACGTCATTACGGATCCTCCCGATCCATTTTTAATTACCTCAAGCGCCGGTCACCGGAAGGGCTTGATGAGTAAATTAACCTATAGATAGACCCAGCTCACTGAGTTTCTCGCCTTATCTTCTCAGTGGGCTTACGATCCGGTGGTAGATTCTGCGAAGTACCGTAAAATGGGGCGATTAGGGACAAATTCCAACTTTATGAGCAATTTTAAGGTAGTTGTTGATGTATATAATGCTATATCAGGATCAAAATGATTGAGTCTTGGGGGCATCTTTGTTGTCTAATTTAAAATTATGCAAGTAGCATTCCAGTTTAAGCAAAAAATGCAAAAATAGGTGTAATCCCTATTTACCCGAAAATTGCGGTTAATTGGGACGAAATGAGAAATTTGCTAGGGTTGGCACTACTTTTATTTTTATATATAGTTTTAATTTATTTATTTATTTAGTTGCACCAACAAAGTGATCATCAATAAAAAAAATTGAAAAACTGACAAAAGTACATGGCAGACATCACCTCAATTATAGGTGCAATCGACAGTGCTGATATTTCTATCTGGGTTAAGAGATTAGGTGTGTCGGTTATTCCATGGATTAATCAGATGAATACCCCCACTCTGAACAAATATTAAATATTTTATTATGTATTACTTAGACATTTTTGTCCACCTTGAGATTTCATTGATCTTGTTACATGTCTCTGCAAAATCGACTTACTTATATTAAATTGCTTATCTATTTCAACTAAAGACTTATTCCCAATTTCGCTTCGAATAAACCAGATTTTTACCAACAAATTTAAAAAATATTGTTATAACTACATAGACAACCCTACAAACCTGTACCTATTTATACTTAGGTCGTTTCCATTTCACGTATTCTCATCCCAATTGACCCCTTTTTCGTTGTTATTTGTACCTAAGACGTCCCCAATATCCCCAAAAACAACAGATTTTTACATGTATTTTTATTTAATCAAATACATTAAAACCAATAACAACTGAGACTTACCTTTAATATATATGCTGGTTCAAACACTAAATAACGTTTATAAATCATAGTCGTCTTCTATTATTATCAAATAAATAAAAGAGAGCAAAGTTTCTAGCACTAAAATAATTACCACCACAGGAAGTTAATTTGAAACGCGATTTTTTATAAGTTAGCAGCTATTATCATGCATATTCAGAGTTGTTTTGTGAACTTTCAACATTCTACTATTAAACTACAAAAAAATGGAAGATTTTGCAACGAATATAAAACTTATATTGAGCGTCGAAAGATTTTCCCGGTTTTTTCCCGATTCGCCTTTCAATCCCTAATCGCCCCATTTTACCGGTACTGCTCTTGCTGGGGCCTGTGTTAGCAAAACTCCCGGTTTGAGCTCCTTGAGCCCACCTACTAAGGTTAAGCTAAAATAGCCTCTAAGGTTATCAGCATAAAAAAGTAAAATGTGTGTAGGTGTGTACGCGTGCGGTCGGGGCGGGCGGGTGTCGCGGCGGGCGAGCGCGGCGGCGTCGGGCCCGGCCCGGGACCGCGCGCTGCGACTGGCGCTCGAGATGTCGCACCGGGCTTCTATGCCGGGTCTGTACACTTCAATTGAATATGCAATTTCGAAAAGGGCACATGTCGCATTTTTTTGTCAAATATGTTTTTTCATATACATGTAGTTTTGAGGCTTACCTACACCCGTTTTATAATAATTCCAGTAATTTTCAATTGCTAATTAACACTAAAATATATCTCAAAAGTCAATATTTTAAATTTTACACTGTTTCAGAAAATAATCAGTATTTTTTTCATTTCCTGAAGATTTTACATTTTCAGAGATGTGCCCTTTTCGAAATTGCAGATACAAGTATATACTTACCTATTTACTACTACATCTGCCGTGAAGCAGTAATGCGTTTCGGTTTGAAGGGCGGGGCAGCCGTTGTAACTATACTTGAGACCTTAGAACTTATATCTCAAAGTGGGTGGCGCGTTTCCGTTGTAGATGTCGATGGGCTCCAGTAACCACTTAACACCAGATGGGCTGTGAGCTCGTCCACACATCTAAGCAATAAAAAAAATACGAGTGGTCCCCCGGTATTACAGGGTGGCCCATAAGTCCTTTGATATGAATTTTTTTTTATTAAAATAAAACTAATTACATTATGAATTAAATTTTTATTTACATAAAAAGCTTAAAAAACGGGAATTATTTTTTGAAAATAACATCTCCTAAATGTAATCCGTTGCGATCACGGCACTCTTGCAAACGACGTCTAAAATTGTCGATGACTGCGCGGCACGTCACTGCTGAAATGCTTGTCATTTCTCTGCGGATGTTTTCTTTTAGGGCCTCAATTGACCGCGGGTTTGTGTCGTATACTTTAGCCTTAAGGTAGCCCCACAAAAAAAAATCCATCGGGGTCAGATCTGGACTACGTGGAGGCCAGGAAATGTCTCCTCTCTTAGAGATAACTTTGCCAGGAAAAAGTTGACGGATAACGGGCATAGCAGTGTTAGAGGTGTGAGAAGTGGCCCCATCCTGTTGAAACCACGTCCTGGCATTAAAGCCTGAAAAGTTTTGCAATTCTGGTATGAAAAACTCTTCGATCATAGCCACATATCGCTCCGACGTAACAGTAACTGCGCGCCCTCTGCCATCCTCAAAGAAGTAAGGCCCTAGGATACCATGGGCTGACATAGCGGCCCAAACAGTCACTTTCGGACTATGTAAGGGCTTCTGATGCTTAAGTTTTGGATTGATGGGGCTCCAATAGCGGCAATTTTGTTTACTAACATGCCCGTTAAGATGGAAATGAGCCTCGTCAGAGAACATTATGTTATTGAAGGAAGTAAACCGATTCAACATTTCATTCGCATAATTTTGTCTTTGAATACCGTCAGTTTCCTTTAATTCTTGAACCAACTGAATTTTGTAAGGGTGCATATGTAAATCTTTCTTCAAAATCCGTTGTAACGATGTCCTGGATACGTTTAATGCTCTGGCGCGCTTACGAGTTGACTGTGTCGGATTTTCGCGAATAGACTGTGTCACTGTGTCTATGTTTTGTTCCGTACGTGACGTCCTTGGGCGACCCAACCGCGGTTTATCTAACGTCGAACCGGTCTCCTCGAACTTAGCAACCCAGTTCTTAATCGTTTGAAGAGTTGGAGTGTCGTCAAAGTTGTGTAAACCTTTGTGTTCTCGAAATTTACGCCGCGCAACGGTTGCCGAATTGTCGTTTTTATAAAACTCGCGCACACAAAACGCACGGTCCGCTCCGGTAAAACGCTCCATCGCGACTAAATTCCCAGAAACCGAAGTTACTCCCCCCGCTTCCCCTGCACCGCTCACGCGCGCCCTGTTCGTTTTATTCAAATTTTACTTTTCAAAGGACTTATGGGCCACCCTGTATTATGATTCTATTGTCAAAGACTATTATATTTGTATAATCGCAGATTTTGCCAAGACTATGTACACTTTAGACAAGTATTAATAAAGACAAACAATATTAAATCTTTTCTCACTTTTATCACAGACTATAAGCAATAAGAAAAGTTTGGCAGTAAACAAATATGTAGTATGTATGAGTATGTGTGTCAAATACATGGTAGTGTGTGTAATGTTTTTATTTAATGATTTAATGTATTTTTTATGCATAAATTAAAAAAAAATTAACTTTCTGCATTCCTCTATATTCTCTATAAGTGTGAGAAAAAGGGATACAAAGTTTTTGCTTCATGTATTAATATATAGATATACTTAATAATATTGTACTTACTGACTATATACTTACTTACTCGTTAATTAACGAATCGAGTAAGAAATAAACACAGCCATAGAAAAATTTGTAAAAATATTAATCAGTTAAATTACAAACAGGTAGCACAGGCGGTAAGCAAGTTGCGATTGTTCAGCCTCAAAGAAGAGATACTACTGATCAGAATGGTGATTATAAACAAATATTTAGAAAACATTCCCAGTAACAGCTTAAGTATGTCAATAATTATTCTTAGTATAATATAGTTCCTCTCAAATAAAAATAATAATAGTTTTTAGAATACCATCATTGCTAATGCAATGAACTTCGTCAAGCTAAAACATTAAATAATGTACTGTTATATTAAAAAATTAAAAATAAGAAAAGATTTGTCCCAACACTTTTTCTTATCCAACTGAATGAATTTAAAAACATAATATTCTGTATTTGTAGACCAAAATCAAACCCGACCTCCAACAAACAAGCGATCCAGAAACGCGGATGTGTCGCACGAGGAAGACAATCGAAAACGGAGGTCTACGAAAGCGAGTCCCAGGAATGCTTCCCTACAGGATCCGACTAAAGCTACGCTGTGGATCGAGTCCAGGAAGACGAAGAAAAGCCCAAAAAGTCGCTCGCAGACTCCAACCGTGCTCCATGCCCCTAACACACGCAGGACGATTGCTACAATCAAGAAGAGCACGCCCCTAAGGCTCACGGTGCTCAGGAAAGCGCAGAGCGCACAGAAAATGAGGGTTATGAAGATTGAAGCGCCTACTAAAATTGGTAAGTTGCTTCATAGTTTTGTTTTATCAGAGAACAGCCACTGTCCAGACTGAAGCAGACTTTATTTATATACTACCTACAGTCGCTGCGTTCACACACGGAGTGATTTGACATATCATCCATGCTCCGGTATGAACTACCCTCCTCGTTCATTGAGCCTTACGACTTGTCTTCTATACAAAGAGGTTTGAGAAGAGTTCTCAGTTCTAGACAGTGGTTTGCTTGAGTGCTACTGGAATAGTGAACTCTATGAGCAATGGTGGTTGCTCAGATAGGCAGTGTGCGTAACTGTGTACAAAGAATATATTAGAACAAAATCACAACAGTGTGATCAGGCTTATAAACATTATTGAACAGGAAAAATGTTTTGGGGAAAATTTTTCTATTAGTCGTTGTGTCTTTCTTTTATTGCTTAGGTGGAAGGACGAGCTCACAGCCCACCTGGTGTTAAGTGGTTACCGGAGCCCATAGACATTTACGACGCAAATGCGGCACCCACCTTGGGATATAAGTTCTAAGGTCTCAGTATAGTTACAACGGCTGCCCCACCCTTCAAACCGAAACTCATTACTGCTTCACGGCAGAAATAGGCAGGGCGGTGGTACCTACCCGTGCGGATTCACAAGAGGTCCTACCACCAGTAATTACGATAATTATAATTTTGCGGGTTTGATTTTTATTACACGATGTTATTCCGTCACCGTGGAAGTCAATCGTGCACATTTGTTGAGTACGTATTTCATTAAAAAAATTGGTACCCGGCTGCGGGATCCACCACCGGTGCATCGCTACATACGAATGCACCGGACGTCTTATCCTTTAGACCACAACGACTTCAAGAGTGTCTGGACAAGCTTCACCAAAAACTTCTTCTTTTTTATTGCCCTTATATGCATATAAGCTTATATTAGTAGTGATTACTGTCGCTCATTGACAACAGCAATGGGAGGGGCACAGCCAAGCTGCTCCCTAGGACTGAGTACTCCCTACATGCCTTGTTTGAAGACGGACATGTCATAATGTTCCGGAAACAATATTGTAGGGTAGTTCATTTTAAAGTCCAATGGTATGTGGCAGAGCGATCTCTGGAAAAGCGCTGTGATCACATCTATCTAATTTACTAAAATTTCCAAAAAAGACAAAAGTTCTTTGTAGGTACAAAATGACTAAATAAAAAAGTTTGTGGCCCAATGTTTTTAGTTATAAAAACTGCCCATCAGAAGCTGTTTTTTAAGATTGTACACCAAAGTCACTGAAATATTGTTTTATTGTGACTCAGTTTTATTTTTTATCGGCTACTCAGTGACAGACATCACGATATTAACGCCGTCACCCATTTACATACGAAGTTTTATTACCCAATGTTATTCATTCATCGCGATAGTCGTTGGTTCGTGTAGATTTTATTAGGCTACATACGCTTTTATGAACTGAGAAGATTTGTGCAGTGAGACCTGACTTATACTATATATATACTATATACTTACTTATATATACTTATACTATATACTTATACTTATATTCCAATTACGAAGTCTCTTTTGACACTTTTTAGAACGTAACTCTTTACGTTTCGCATAATTTCAAATAATAATCATTTTTGTTCATGGGCATCATTTAAAAATACGCAATCAATCTGAATTATTATTCAATTAATTCACACACAAAATAACATAATAATAACATCTGTCTCATGGGACCTCGTAATTGGAATAGAGTATAATGTATCATATATATAACGAACATTTATAGTCAAGTCATTCTTGAGCTATATCTCAGTGGGGTTATAGAAGTTACTAGAATTTTTTGATTTGATTTGATTTGACTTATTTCTACATAAACCGTCGGCGCGAGTCGGAATGAGCACATCTCTCGGTGTGATCAATTTTAATAAGTACGATGCGCGAAACTTCCACTTTATCGTCGCTAGAATCACAAACAAGGCAGATTTGAGGGGTCAGGTAGACTGAGTATTCGTGAGTTTCGCATTACCCTATATTTTTTATTTATTGCTTAGATGGAAGGAAGATCCCACCTGGTGTTAAATGGTTACCGGAGCCCATAGACATCTATAAAGTAAATACCGCCACCCACCTTGAGATATGAGTTTTGAGGTCCCATAAGTGCAACGGCTGCCCCACCCTTCAAACTTTAGATTACGGTCCCGATTTTGGAGTGTTCACGCGGAGCAAAATTAATTTCACGCGGAGCCACGACTTATTTGACTCGTGTAGGAGTCACAAATGCTTTGTCCATAAAATAACTTCGAAACCTTTATAAGTCGTCAAGGACAAAGGCAATATATAAAGTCATCGGATATTCCGTGTCGTATGACGACATCGATAATTGTTTTAGCAGTGATTATATTTCACGAAATAAATAAATACCCTTCGATTTTTTCTCTCTGATAACCTTTACAAGCTGTCTCATGTATGAGGTCGCATGGATTGTAACTGTCTATTATCTTATTATACTATAAAGTAATGAATGTTTAATTGTTATATTTGACTGACTCATTGGTGCGGTAGTTTGCGGCCCTGACTGTTGCGCCAAGGGTCGTGGGTTCGATTCCCGCATCGGGCAAACATTCGTGTGATGAACAGGTTTGTTTGCTCTTCGTCTGGGTGTTTATTATCTATATATGTATATGTCGCAGGCAATTTGTATGATTCCGCCGTTTACAAACGGCGTCATTATAAAAACGCTCGCCGTTATGTAAAATGCCGAAGGCAACATGTATATTGCCGTGTCACTTTATAATATGCCACAACATAACATCGACAATTCAAACGCCGTTTTCATAATGCCGCGGCAAATTGAAGTATTTAGTTCATTTTTTTACCACGCGCGCCACTGTTGATCAAAACAATAACAATGGCGTCATTTTGTGTTTCAAAAAATTAACTGAAAACTGCAAATATTTCGTGTGGAGAAGACATTTTAGAAAATCATTCTGATTTTAAAGCTTTATATTATAGTCTTTATATTATAGCTTTATATATATGAATTAAAAAAATTCTACAATTCTCAAACGGAAGCTGTAAAAAAGCTTTGGACAAATAGTAAAATTTTTGAGGTTATCCGGCACCTAAAAATGCTAAGGTGGCCACAGATCTGGTTCCCGGAGGACTCCTGCAGGTCCAAAAAATACGAGGTTATGAGCATCAGTGAATTGGACTACCTTATTTAAAGAGGAATAGCCTTGGCAGTCCAACCGTTCGTGTAATACCGTTGGAAGAATATTACGATGTATTGTTAGAGATTCATAGAGGTTACGGACATGGTGGTCGAGACAAAATTCAGTATCAAATGAAGGATAGATTTATTATTGAGAGAAAAGCGATCGATTTATACGTATCGTTATGTCAATTTATCTGCTTTGTAACTTAAATATTATAATGTCTTGGTGTTTTTTAGTCATGAAATGGGACATGCGCAAATAAGTAATATACATTTTTATTGTTACTTTTGTTACTTTTTATTTAAAAATAAATCAAGAAACTTTTATTTTTTAAATAGTCTTCATTTATTAATTTAGGGAAATGTCTTCCAAGAATGATGAATACTTCAGACTACAAAATATGATTTTACATATGACCTGTTTGTTTTTATTTGAAAGTGTCATATTATCCTTAGAAGTTTTATTATTGTCATTTAAATGTTGTTTTGTTATTTAAATATTTTAATTAGGCAAGTACTTCAAGAGAATCAAAGCACATAATTTAGTCTTACTTGAAATCTTCATTAGTACTTGATTGCGGAAATAAAGTCTGATTATTATAAACTACATTTTATTATGGTCACCCTAAACCTACAACCAATGTCGAAATTATAACAATTGAACGAGTTATCATTTTGCCTTCGTCATTTTACATAACGGCGAGCGTTTTTATAATGACGACGCCGTTTGTAAACGGCGGAATCATACAAATTGCATGCGACATATATATTTAAACGGATATAAGTATGTATGTCAGTCTCTGGTACCCATAACACAGGGAATCCTAAATTGGGGCCGAATGACCGTGCGTGATTCGTTCCCAGTTATTTATTATTATTATTACAGTTAACAAACAAGTCCTAGTGCAACACGAATGTGGGTAGATTGGGATCAAGTAATAATAATAATAATAATAATAAAGATCATTTATTGCCTTTCACATCATAAAATGAAATACAAAGAAAAAGAAAAGCAAAAAAAAAGAGAAAAAGGCAAAAGGTGGCTCAGCTATTGCTGTTCAAGGTTGATAAATTGAACAGCGCTGATTTTCAGTCACCCCCGTTTCCCTTTGGTTCTTTGCGGGAATGAAGACTCCGTACGTGTGTACATACTCAGAATATGGTATAAATTAGTAAAATTAGTAAATTATAAAAATTTAAGAAAAAAACAGAATAAAAATCAAATTAAATGGTGAACCCGAAAACAAAACCCAAAATTTAAGAAAAAAACAAAACAAAAATCAAATTAAATGGTGAACCCGAATACAAAACATAATAAGCACACAGTAATAACAACCTGTGGGCAGCTTAAAAAAAATAAAATAAAATAAAAATTTAATAAAAGGAAGTTTTCACAAGCTAGGATTAAATTAGTTACTATAAATACTATAAATTAGATTAGTTTTTGTGAGTCCAAAAGAAATGATTTTAAACGATTAATAAAGCCATGCTTTGTTACAATGTGACAATTTTTTTTCATTACTTTACTTTCAATGACAAGTAACTTGTCATTGAAAGTAATGCTAGATATTATTGTCAAATATCCAAAGCGTTGATTAAAAGTTTTCAAGTGAAACAAAGTTTGTCAATCGACAAATGACTTTAGGGCGAAATGAGAATACTTATTTGGCATTTGGTATTTATGTTCTAGTATTTAGTAGCTTTGGTTCCGAGCGTCGTGACCGTCCGACGTGTTGATGGCTTAGGAATGACAGGTCGATTAGCGAATCAAAGCAATAACGAATAGGGACCGTGGATCGGGTCTTGTTTTTATACATTACCCGTTTTTTTTTCTCTAATTATTTGCTGGTAGGTAGGGTAGGTGAGCTCACGGGCTCAACCCGATAGGATTTGCTAACACTAGCTCTAGCAAGAGCAGTGCTTAGCAGTATCTACCACCGGATCGGAAATGCGACCCACTGAGAAGATCTCGACTCAGTGGCTATGTCTATGGGTATAGCCAATATTTTGATGCCACAACCGTTGTCATACTTTAAGAGAGTGAGAACTGACGTGGTGCTCATGGTATAAGCACGAAGGCTTCAGTTATTCCGTCGCAGGTCATCAACTAATGGGAAACGATGTTGTTCCACGGAGCAAGGGCGGGTTTGCACACATATCTTGGGATTTCGTTGGCGCGATTTAGATTTTGTTCAAACTCTTCTAATTTATTATGGGCTACAACCACACGAAACGATCAGCTATAACCTTTATTTCTATGTGCTTATGGTGCATTCAGCAAAACAATTTTTTGCTCTATTCTCGATCGTAATTTCATCATTGTTATTCGATATCATGTTTCAGCATTTTTACTTAGTTCATTGTATTTTCCAAGTTAAAAGTCAGTCAATATTCATACCACGTGCAGTACAGTCCTCCCACTGGAATTACTAGGGTCAATCAGTGTAGAAATTTAGTTTCTTTTAAATAAAAGTAGTGAAGAGCGCGTTTTTTTTTCCTTCTTTATTTGACCAATAGGGTAGGCTCCATGACAATGGCTGATACATATATTTCTCGATATGTTTTCTCTAATAAATTTGTTTCGGCAAGAATTATGGACTGCGAGTCGAGTTGCAATGGTTATGGTAAACCTCCTTTACATTAGAGACTGAGATCCTAAATCAAAGAAAGAAAACATTGAATGTAATTTACCCAACACGTATTGAAGTTATATCTAAGAGCGTTTCCGTCTTGCCGCATTAGTTAAATGCAAGGTCAGTGACGTCACAGCTACGTGTTTTTATATCTTTTATGCATTTAGTTCAAAAACGTTGTCTCGTCTGAAAGCCGGCTAGAACTGAAAAACTAAAAATTAATTTTCTCTTTACAATTTCTGTGTCTGCGGTCGTTGCATTCGATTCACATGGTTTTAGCAGTTGATAATGTAATTCAAATATGTACATAATGCGATCAAGGTGAGTGACGCGTTGCAAGTGCAAGGACTTGTGGGTGCATTTGTGAGAAATTACACGCTTTTGTGAACGTTTTTGAAAGATTATCTTTAGTGTGCTATGAGAACGTACTCACATCGGGTCAGACTTTATTAAACTAGTCATCCGTGACCGCGAAGCCTGTGATTATAAGGTACCTGATCACGATGTACTGCGGAAATATCGGAAGCTGTTTTATTGGGTAATTTTTTAAATTTTTTCGATCACAAAACATAGCCTTTCTGATTTATGTTTTCCACGTGTTTGGGGGAAGCAGCGCGCGAACCCGCGTGGTGTTAAACATTTGATATATCGGTCATTAAAATAATATAAAAACTTATAAATTCACAGCACACTGAGTTTTAGTTGTATATAGTACTTCCCTAAGTCATTAGTCTACGATTATTTAATTCATTATTTATAATTAATCATCAGTTTTTTCCCCGAATGATTATGTATCTTGAAATTAATTAAGTTACACACACACATGTTAATGAAAATGACTAATAGCGGTAAATGATATTCAAGCCAAGTATGAATATGAAAAACCTTGATATGCATATCGATTGTGTAGTCCAAACAATTTTTAATTTAGTACAATGTCATCTAAAACCTTTTATAGTAATATGAGTATCACAAAATAGTGTTAAATTCACAAAAAGAAGTGACAAAAATCTGACTATCATTAAAATTGTGTTAAATAATTAACGCCAATCTACCATATAACAGACAACCTGACAAATCTAACCCGCAAAATTGTAATTTGCGTAATTACTGGTGGTAGGACCTCTTGTGAGTCCGCACGAGTAGGTACCACCACCCTGCCTATTTCTGCCGTGAAGCAGTAATGCGTTTCGGCTTGAAGGGTGGGGTAGCCGTTGTAACTGTACTGATACCTTAGAACTTACATCTCAAAGTGGGTGGCGCATTTACGTTGTAAATGTTTATAGGCTTCATAACCACTTAACACAAGGTGGGCTGTGATGTGGATCACAAGGATCACAGCCCACCTTGTGTGGGCCATGTAAGCTATAAACAAAAAGAATAACTACAGTTGTCTGAAAATTATTTGATTATAATTTATATGTAGTTGAAAAAGTCCGGCAGCAACATGCATTAGCCAGTATCGAAGCCGGTAGCAAAGCCAAGTATAATGGCTCTTATCAAGCAATTAAACAAGTCGAATTTATCGATCCTTTTGTATAGTTTTATTTTCGTATCGTATATTTCGTAACAACATTGGAAAGCTTCACTTTAGTGATATTTAACATTGAATAATGTATTGTAAAATAACATCTGCAAACCGAACACCAAACGGCACTTTTTTTTAAAAAAAAATTTGCTTAGATATTGGACGAGCTCATAGCCCACCTGGTGTTAAGTGGTTACTGGGGCCCATAGATATCTACAACGTAAATGCGCCACCCACCTTGAGATAAGTTCTAAGGTCTCAGTATAGTTGCTGCCCCACCCTTCAAATCGAAACGCATTACTGCTTCACGACAGAAATAGACAGGGTGGTGGTAGCTCACAAGAAATTCTACCGCCAGTACCAGATTCGGAAAATGGGCAGTATCGAATTATCGGTATACCGCGATGTATTGGTGGTATGAGGTATGATTATTTCTGTCGCGAAGCAATTATTTGCTCCAGTTTGAAAGATGGAATAGACGTTCTACAATACAATTTAGACTTCCACTTCATATCTCAAATCCATGGGCTCCGGTAACCGAGTTGTGTCGTGAACTCCTTAATTCATTACTGGTGGTAGGACCCCTTATGAGTCCGCGCGGGTAGCCACCCCGCCTATTTCTGCCGTGAAGTAGTAATGCGTTTCGGTTTGAAAGGTGGGGCAGCCGTTGTAACTATACTTGAGACCTTAGAACTTATATCTCAAGGTGGGTGGCGCATTTACGTTATAGATGTCTATGGACTTCAGTAACAACTTAACACCAGTTGGGCTGTGAGCTCGTCCACCCATCTAAGTTATGAAAAAATATCATTTAAGCGATAAAAAATGTCCAAATTGTCGTGGATAAGCGTACAAACAAAATGTCTTCATTGATTTTTTTTAAAATAATAATAATTGCAGATCACACGAAGCAAGCGGCTCTGATGCTGATGACAGGGCACACGCCTAAACAGAGACTGTTAGGATCGAAATCTAAGACTCCCTCGTACGTAGTTAAGAAACATAGTCCGGTGCGGAGGAATCCGCGGGGCAGACTCAGTCTAGGGAAACGGTCTAAAGAGAGCGAGAGCGCTTCGTCGTCCCGGCTCAGCAACACAAGAGCCAGCTCAGTTGCCGGCACTAGTAGGAGCTCGGGGAATCGTTCGGTGAGTATTTATGACAAGGAACAAACATGGACGCGCATAAACAAGCGCAAACAATTTTTTTAATAAAATTTTAAAATGTATCGAATTTCTTCATTAGATTCACTCATTTTGACAGTACGAAAAATAAATAAAAAGATCACACATTTTCCTAATTTGAATTTGAAATTATCTTCTTTAAAATTTACACTTTTAATGATACCAAAACCAGCCGGATACAAATAGTATAGCCAAAGAGATTTTATTACAAGTTCATACATACTATAATGCGAAAAGACTTTTCCCCAACCTATATATAATATTTGGTGTTTCGTTTTAAAATTTAAAATAATTCGAATATGTAACAAGACAAACATTTTTATGTTGTGTATAAGTGTGTATATGAATATATATGATAGTGATTATATATAGATATGTGTGTAAATTTTATATTATTATCATGATATAAATATTATGTACGTTGTTGTATGTGATTATATATATGTACATATATACCGTCTATGTCTTTGTATATGTATGTAATATTATTATAAATTTTCTCATTTTCGCAATAAGTAATGCACCTACCACAGGACTGCCTCACAGGCATTAAGTCTGCCATTGTACCTTTGTGCATGAAGTTGAATAAATAAATAAATAACAACAATTGAGTATTAGTTAGACATTCATTGAAATTAAAAACTATTTGTTAACACTCGGAAAATGTCATGAAAATAATGTTTAATTTTATCATGTCACGATCGCGTATTGCTCCTTTTGAACTGTCTTATTTTGTTTTTAGGTAACGATATTCGAAGTAACCGACTCGGAGGCTCGAAATTCAACTTTACAAGCGAACAGGTTGTCGCGTCGCTCCGGACAGAAGAGTCCCCAGAAATCGCCCTTCCTACCTAGCGCCAAGAAATCGGCGCTGAAAGATCCAAAGAGAAACACCCGTAAAACCGAATCTATAAAGTTCGATTTGAGTAATTTGGAGAACGGCGCTCAGATGTCCAGTGACGTTCTGACGGTTAACGATACGACGAAGCGTTCCGACGGTGACGACACGATGTCGGAAGAAGAGTTGACCTTACGTTACTCCGACTCTCCCAGTCCTTCGCCAAGGAGACCAATAAATTCTCGCAGCAGTCGAATATTGGAGAGTACCATCGGAACACGCCTGACCGTGTCACCGAAACAATCTTTAACTCAGCAACGGCCTCGTGGAAGAAAATCGTCGAGAGGAAGCCTTATCTTGCAAAAGGCGTTGACGTCATCTGATCTATCACATGACTTGTCCAGCCAGAGTACCTCGATAGCGTCCGCTTACAAAACGCGAACACTCAGTCCGAGAACACGTAATATGGAATCGTATTCGATTGTCGATTTAGTTTCTATAGATTCGAACGATTCTCAAAAGAACGCTTCAGTTTATGATTCTGTGGCGTCCGCGAGCGACTCGTTTGGTACTCCCGGTAATAGCATCTCTAGGAAAACGAGATCGACTATCGATCCAACGTTACTCGGAACTAGCACTCCGTACGTAGCTAAGTCGACTAGATCAGGATGCTCGTTTATATCAAATCGATCGCGGTCCAATCCGGGTGTATCGGGTAACGAAACGCTCCACTCAAGGAGTTCTATGTCCACAAGACGATCGAAGTCATTGACCACACCCGAAAACACCAGAAAACATATCTCGATCAACAGTACGAAAATATCTAGAGTTTCCAGAAGTCGATCCAGGATTAATGACAGCGACCTACTCGTTGACGACGAGGAAGATTCGTCTCCGAAGACTTCGAAAAGAGTCAGTCGTAATACTAAATCTTTGTTATCGAACGCTACGTTTAACAAAAGAAACGAAATTACGAATGGAAGTGTAATTAGTTCAACTAACGAAGGAAATACTACTCCAGAAGATAGACATAGTCCCGAAGATGTAGGCACTCCAATGTTAAGCATTCAAACTCTTTTAAATAACAGCTCGATTACATCAAGGAACATTCGAACAGGCAGAGTATCGAAACGCAAGACTGTAGGAGATATTGGCACAGTTAAAAACAGTCGTGCCGGCTTAAAATCAAAATCGTTGAATGTTAGTGCAATGAGGGCTGTTCTAAGGTCGATGAAAGGTTCACCGAACAATTCTGACGTCACAGACGAGGACGCCCCACAGCCTGACGACGAAGAAGTAATTACACCAAAAAGTGCCGTAAAACCGGTACAAGAGGCCGTCAAAAACAAGCACTCGACTGCTAAGAAACCTCAATCGAAACGTTCCATTATAGACGACCTTAACAAATCTGATATCGTGAAAGAGCTATTCAATAGTCCGGTTAAGAGAAAGTTGTCTCAAAGCATGACCGAATTCTCTAGGAAGCAACTCTTCGAGGAAGACGAGGATGTTATTTCAGTTAAAAAACCGAGTAGAAACACTATCGCTGTAGCGGACAGAACGCCAGACAGTTCTATTCTTGACCAAACGGAAGCTATCACGCCTGATATGTTCATTAGTCCGATAAATACACCGTCACATAGTCCTAACATGACGGGAATTAGACGATTGTTCCGCAGAAATACACCACAGAACGATCTGCGTGACGTGGCAGGCGTTAGAACACTATTCCGCTCTCCTAGACATCGGAAGTCTAATATAAACGATCTGACAAATGTAAGAAATCTCGAACAAGATTTTGCGGAATGCTCTACCGAACGCTTAAGCGACGCTCGTGTCAAAAATGTTTCTACGTCATCACCTAGAAATGATCAGCAAAGAGTTTCAGAAGTTAAAACGTCGTTCCAAAAACAAAATAAATATAGAAGTCCACGAAATGACTTGAACGACGTTAGGGGTGTAAAAGAACTATTCCGGAGGAGTCCGACAAATGATTTAAGAAACGTGTCAGCCGTGAAGAGAACATTGCAGAGGCTTTCACCCAAAAATGATTTGACCGACGTACGCGGCGTGAGAAATATTTTTAGACAACAAAAACAGAAACAAGATTGTGACGTGAGCGGAATCGAAGAATTGTTCAACGAGTCTCGAAATGATTCTGAAATTTTATTTGATCAATTGGTAGGCGGTAAACCGCGACCGAAAGCTGTTTATTCGAGAACTTTCACAGCGAGGGCTCCTCAAAAACTGAATGCACGAAAAAATGCATCTTTGAATAAGTCTATCAATATGATAACTGATAATGTCGAGGAATGGATAGAGACCAACTTGAGAAAATGTTTGCAAAAAGATAAACCCTCAACAAGTTTGACTAGAGAACTTAAAAGGTTGGCGACTAGTACATTTGAAGGTGATACGCCGATTCGAAGGTCAAGAGTACGCGACAGTACAGTAATCAGGAGTATTATCACGGAGAATCGTCAGAAATCCGCTTCAGAAGTATACAGCGCTCGAAAACTGCCTATAAAGAAGAGGTCCTTGAAAGAAATCTCGATGGAAAGGGCAGCAAATACTACGATCCTGCCCATCAAGAAAAGGGTTGTAGTACATTCAACGCCGGTTAAAGGGAGAGTCAATATGACGATGAACGCTTCAGAGTTAGGTAGAGTTTCGCCGATTGCTGCCTTTGACAAAACTCGACCAGCTGAGAGTGACACGACTGTGGCGTGAGTATATTTTTTTTATTGCTTAGATGGGTGGACGAGCTCACAGCCCACCTGGTGTTAAGTGGTTACTGGAGCCCATAGACATCTACGACGTAAATGCGCCATCCACCTTGAGATATCAGTTCTAAGGTCTCAGTATAGTTACAACGTCTTATCCTTTAGGCCACGACGACTTCAAACGACGACTACGATATCTAAATTTTGTGCAAATGCTACTTACTTATTTCTTAAAATTTAATTGAAATATATTTTATAAAATTAATACGTGAAGCAAAAACTTTGTATCCCTTTTTACGAAAATTGCGCGGACGGATGAGTATGAAATTTTCCACACTTATAGAGAATATAGAGAAGAAGTGCACAATGCTAATATTTTTTAAAAATAATGCATAAAAGATACATTAAATCAATAAAGAAAACACACACTAGATACCATGTATTTGACGCACACACGTATGCATACTATTTATTGTCAAACTTTTGTTCTTGACGTTAGTGGTCAAATTGAGAATTGGTTTTTATTAATATTTTTTTATAGTGCAGCAGCCTTGGCAAAATTTGTAATTATAGAAGTATAAAATACAATCATAATAGTGTACAACCTTACAATTCCAATTAATTATAGTCGAATTTCGACTACACAGGGACCTCTAGTTTTAATAAATAATTAACGTTTGCTACGATTTTACAGTTATCATATGATGTTAAAAGTAATAGGATATGTATGTTATTTACTTATCTTTTCTCATTTTAATTCCCTTTTTTATAGTGCATCAAGACCAATAGAGGATGAACCGGCTCGACCTCCACCAAAACAAAGAGGCAGAAGGACGACAAAGGCAAAAATAGAGAAACCAGCTACTAACGAAATAATACCGTCCCCAAAGAAAACGCGGTCCAAAGCTAAGCCGGCTAGTCCAGTAAAAACTAGACCTACAAGAGGTCGCAATAGGACTGATAATTCTGATAACACCAAAAAACGTAGAGCCTCACTAGTCATTCCAAAGAAATCCCCAGTTCTTAGTCCTAAACCAACCAAGGTGTCCAGGAATAAAAATGATGACATCGAAATTGAAATCAAAGTGTTGATCAGTCCAAAAAAGATTACAAGACGTCAAAAACAAATAGAGGTTACAGCATCACCAAAAAGAACAACCAGAGCTAAAGTACAAAAAACTACCGTTGTTGTTACTAAACCGTCACCGAAATTGAAGCCTAGAGCCAAGAGGAATGCAGCCCAAATCGATAAGGCTAATAGTGTCGAAGAAATCATACAAAAATCTAAAAGAAACCGTAAAACAACCGTTGAATCTCCCAAAGAATCTCGAGCGGCAAAACCTGCTGTTGAAAATGAACCTAAAACGAGGGGACGTAGAATTATAACTGAACGACAAAATGAAGATGACAAACCCAAAAGAGGTAGGAATACGAAAACGGATGATACTACAAAAGTTTCCAAAGAAGACAATTTACCTAAAACTCGAAGATCTAAACTAAAGGTACCGGAAAAACAGCCAGTTACACGAGGAAAAGCCAAAAATGTAGAAGTACCTGCCAGTGAAATCACACAGAAATCCACAAGAGGAAAGAAATTGGAACCCCAAGAAAGCGTACAGTCGGAACCGGTCAGACAAACTCGTCGTGTAAGAAATGATAATACCGTTATTCCCGAACAAAAAGGTCGTAAACGCAAAACGGTGGTCGAGGAAGTAATACCTGCTAAAACCTCGCGGCGTGGAAAGAAAGTCGTCGAAAATGTTGATGCTGAAGCTGTTAGTGAGGAACCGAAGATAAATTCAAAAAAGAGTCAAGAGATAAATAAAAGTGTTGGAGGCGGTAAGACAACCAGAGCGGTTCAGAACAAAAGAGTTGCGGTATCCAACACTGCCGAAAGAAAAGTACAGAAAGGAACCAAGGTAATAAAGAATTAAAACCAAAAATAATGAAATTAATTTAACACACAAACAAATAGAAAAGTGTTATTGTACATGTGGTTTTAATTGATATTTGTTCTTACAGACGGCGAAGCAGGAAATAGTTCCAGAAGCAAATAGCCGTAAGAGGATAGCACGCGCTGAATCATCTCCAGCGAAAGGTATGTTATCTGTTGGAATCACAAGCACTATCATCAGTTACTTTTATTTTCATTCGTTCAATGTTCAATCTATACTAATATGTGACTAACTACTGAACCGTGCATCCGATTGACTTGAAACTTGGTATCCATGTAGAAAATACATGTACTTAATGGATAGACTAATATTTATATGAGCGGGACTCCCTAATAATAATGACAATAAATAATAATGTTAATTTTAAATGCCCAGCGAATCGGGCGAGTACGGCTAGTCTTGTATAAATGCAAACATCTTGAAATGTTATATCTTCTACGATAGCTAATCGGCTTTATACAAATCACATCAAATCAAATGAAATCAAAAAAATTTTTTTTTTGCCTGTAACTTTTCAATGTTTTTGTTATTCTGAAAACCTTCAATACTCGTACGCAGTGAAATATGTTCACAAGTGCCCATCGTTAAGCGCTTTTTACAAATTAATTTACACGCAATGAGTTTACGATCGAGTAAAATATAATAACTGACCAATTTAATTCACCACACTATTGTTGCAAATATAATTTTTTTTATTGCCTAGGGGGGTGGACGAGCTCACAGCCCACCTGGTGTTAAGTGGTTACTGGAGCCCATAGACATCTACAACGCAAATGCGCCACCCACCTTGAGATATAAGTTCTAATGTCTCAAGTATAGTTACAACGGTTGCCCCAGCCTTCAAACCGAAACGCCAGAAATAGACAGGGTGGTGGTACCTATCCGCGCGGACACACAAGAGGTCCTACCACCAAAGAAATTATTATTATTATATTAAAACGTCTTCACGCAGTACCGAATAAAAGACAAGCTTTGAAGACTAAAAAAGAAGTGGAGGCTGCGACCATAGTGTCTCCCTTGAAAACCCGACCACGAAGTACACGCGCCGCCAAAAGTGAAGCTGAAGGTATAAATTTGTATTGTATGACTTGATTTGCTTGATATTTCAATCTTGGTTTAAAGAAAATACAATGCAATCACTTTTATATTTGGATGGGTTATAATTTAGGAATTTATTATAGGAATATATTATTATAAAAAGTTAACATTACAAAGGCGAGTCCTTATTATTAGTTCAGCTTGCGGCTATGATGTTATTCCGTTTTTTAATTATTTATTAATCTTAAAATTGGAAGACATGAGTGGATGAAGGGGACATGATACAATCTGCTAATTATGAGAAAACGGGCAACAAACTTTTTGTTGCTTGTACTTTGTCTTTGTAAATAACTCCTCTATCAAATGTAATTTCTAAAAATAGTCTTTAAACCCGGAGTTTTAAGGTCTAATATGGTTTATAGGCACGTAACACCTTCATTCAACGTAAAAATCTTACAAATGGTATTTAACCCCTTCATCTACTCATGCCTTTAATTATTAGAACTTATCGTTAATTGTTAATTAGATTCCAACTTTAGGTAATATGTTTTATAATTTTTTTAGTATCAAAGAAAACTACCAGTAGAAGCCGCAGGAGATAACGAAAAAATGAAATATGATGATGATAGAAAGTACAAATTGTATATTTGATGGTAAGGATTTTGGTAAAACTCGGAAAATGTATTTTTGTAAGCTTTGTATTTTGTCCATCTAGACAAAAAAGGAAACCTGTTTTGTGGCAACTTCTGAATGAGCTTAAGTAAGAAAAATTGCATTAAAAGTTAAAAAACCTCATTTTTAAAATAAACTTTGTTCCTTTTCCAGGTGCCTAAGAAGACATTTTTAATTTTAAAAACGTATTTAGTTTTAAATCACTTATCTAGATTTAGTTTGTAGATGTTGCTGTCAATGTCTCAGTTTTATTTTCATTTGTATTTCTGTTTTTGTGGTCTAATTGTGTTAACTTTGTATTTTAAAATAAAGCTATCAGTGATTTTTTAAATTGATTTTACGTGTTTGTCGTCACGTTAGAATAGTTTTTAGTATGCACAAATTTATTTAAGTTGATAATTTTTATTCTACCTTTAGTAGTTTTTTTTCGAGTAGGTACGCTGCACAAATATTTTATGATCACGACTTTATATTTCTTGTAACTTACCTGATTTAAAACAACTGATTGTTTGTGTGCTGCTTTTTATTTTCTGCAAAGGAAGCCCAGACAATTAGTATAACGCTCAAATACAAATTATACGTATTTCATTTGTATTAAGCAAAGCAAAATTTATTTGGATTAGATTCTAGTTTTATAAAATTTAAAAATTTGTTTTAATTTAATTTTAAGTATTAGAGAAGAGCACCTGAAACAAATACGTAAATCTCTAAACACTTCATAAGGTTATTTAAAAGACAATAATGTTAAAAGACTATTTGTTATATATATTATACAATATTCGTAATTATGTGATTTCAATATATTAATATGTCTTTAGTTCGTATTTGCACTATGTTTATTATTCTATTGATTGATTATTTCTAAAATGAAAGGAAATATGTATTTTGGGAACAATTTATTCAATTTTGAAGACATGCGTGTTCGAAAAGTTGTCGACAGATGCTTATTTAGGAAATTCTATTTTATTAACATATATTGTTGAACAAAGTTTAATAAAGAATAATTCTGAATACATGAATTGTATTTTATATTCAACATTTGGCCACTATCTTGTCTATAAACAATATTTGTGTAACTTAATTTCATAATTAACTACTACGCTAATTTGCGTAAAAAATTACAGTTGACAGGAGACCTGTGTGCTTAGTGCGAGTTTCTTAACGTTGTCGATAGCGTAAAAGTTAAGCCAATTTTGTATGCAGTTGGAACAGCGCCCCTAGCGGCAAACGTACGCAAAGGATCCCATTCCATACAAACATGAGCTAACTTTTACGCTATCCAGAACGTTAAAAAACTCGCACTAAGCACACCGTTCGAAATCTCAATGATATTGTACAACAGCTGTTCCACCCATCTAACTGGAATGCATAAATGTTTCGTGGCGGAGAGCCTTGCAATACGCTCTATCGCCATTAAATGCTGATTTGTAATTGCAGTAACCTGGCTTATTATAATCTGAACTCTTATTTTCTGGTCTCTCTTAGTCTCCACTGGTGATAGGATAGTTGTATTCTAGGTCACAGAGCTGTCGTGGCGTACATCTTCCTATTAGAAGAATAAAGGCTAGTTGCTTGGATATTAATAAAAAAAAAATTGACCTTATTTATTTTTGTATAGGTATTCTCTAGCCATTTTTTAACGGACATAGAGTAGACGAATTTATATTTACAGGATCATAATTAAATTAATTACCAAAGTTCAATAAATACAATCAATGAATAATTAAAAAAAAGTTTTTTTTTTTATCTGATTTGGAGTACCTAACCTACTTACATACTAATTAGTGGTTTAAGAAACATTTATCTGTTTCCTCAAAACTTTAAGAGTTCGCTTTAAACTTGACCGGATTAGATATTCTGAATATAGAGGGCAGTAGATTAGCGAGAGTCGAAAACACTTCTGGCGCGGTGTTCGTTGGTACTGCGAACTGTAGGGTGCGGAGTTCAGCCCCGCCCCACCCGGCCGCCTCCAACATGAACCCTTTGACGCATTTCAGGATCAATTCCGCACGACGGATGCACCACGCTGCCGTCATTTCCTGATATAAATAAATAATAAATAAGTGGGGGAACGAATAACACACAATCATTCGGCCCCAAATTACGATTCCCTGTGTTATGGGTACCATAGACTGACATACATAATGATATATCTTTATACATATATACTAATATATAAATCTACAGTGGTTTTTACGGATGTTCCGTTATAACTACTGAACCATGCATCCGATCGACTTGAAACTTGGTATCCATGTAGAAAATACATGTACTTAATGGATAGGCTAATATTTATATGAGTGTTGGTCTCCCTACACCAGTTGCGGGGTCGTTAATGATGAGAATCTTTGTGGGGGTGAGAAATAAAAGTGTTAATATTAAATGCCCAGCGAAGCGGACGGGTATAGCTAGTATTATTATATAGATAATAAAAAACCGGACAAAGTGCAAAAAAAAATATTCATCACAAGGATGTTTGCCCGATGTGGGAATCGAACCCACGACCCTCGGCGCAAGCGTTAGGAGATCTAACTATTGCGGTTTTTTATCCAAAGTTTAGACTAATCCCTTAGGATGCTTTCATTATACGGTTGAGTTAAGGGCTTTCTGTATGAGTAGAAAGCGATCGTGAGGTTTCTCACCCTGAAGCCTTAACCGTTGGTTGGTTTCGTAGTGTTTCTTAAAAATTGTATCTTCAATTCTTCAAAGGACAATGCCCAAAAAATGGGCCAACTTTGTGTTAAAACTATTTGTACTTGAAAAACTATGCCTTATTTTTTCACATTGTTTAATTTATGTATCAACATTTATTTCAACCTGGCATTGCTTTACAAAAAAAAAATACTTATTTGATAACATTGAAGTCTTAATAGTTAGTTTGTTTCGTAAAGTGTTTCTTAAAAATTATGTCTTCAATCATTTAAATTCGTTTTTTTTTTTTTAATAATTATATTATGAATATAAAACTTCTCACCTCTGATAATTCGTGTCGCAAGAGCAGAGGCAGCGATATACTGGTGATATCATTACTGCAAGCAGCTTTCAGGATGTTACGTAAGCCCAGGATTACCGGATGACGAGACGTGATATCACCTGGACAACAAATCCAGATATTGACATTTCAACGATCATAACAAAGGTTCCTTGAATATATTCGCAAAGCATTAAAAATAATCTAAATGTAATTTAATAAGGAGGGAATAAATGTTCGGGTTAACACAATTTAAATAAGTCTTATGGAGTATTCAGATACATTTATTGTTAGGTGAGGCAAATTTTCTTACCATAAACAGGACAAGTTAATAGATGAATGTTTTAAAGAAAGTAAGATTTCAATTATTCAATGGAAACAACTCAACTATGCTTGTATTTGTTTACATAAAAACTAAGCAGTAAAACCTACCTACCACTATTTACTCTGCACTACTTTTGGTTGACTCGTAGAGAATGCCGTAGGTTTTAAGTCCGCTAATGTAAATTTTACATGAAGTGTAATAAATAAATAATTTTTATTTTATTTTTATTGCTTAGATGGTTGGACGAGCTCACAGCCCACCTGGTTTTAAGTGGTTACTGGAGCCCATAGACATCTACAACGTAAATGCGCCACCCACCTTGAGATATAAGTTCTAAGGTCTCAGTATAGTTACAACGGCTACCCCACCCTTCGAACCGAAACGCATTACTGCTTCACGGCGGAAATAGGCGGGGTGGTGGAACCTGCCCGTGTGGACTCCCAAGAGGTCCAACCTCCAGTAATAATAGTAATAAATAAAATTTCGGACATTCCCATATACTGTTGGTTCATAGTGCATAATGTAATTGTCTTAATAATTTTAAACAAAAATCTCTTTATCATGTTACAGTGGAGCCGTGTTATGGGAGCGTTATACAATTTATGTTAGTGTTCGAAAATCGAACGTCACTTCAAACTTATATTCTCTCAGCGGCCGAACTATAGTCAACATGCATACACTCATATCAGAGACGCGTTACGAATAATTCAATCGTGAGGGCGATCAAAAGTGTAGAAGTTCTTTTGCGGGCGACTACACTTACCGGATCTCAGAGAAGAGTCGTCGGCAACAAGATGGAAGACTACGTGCACGTCAGCCAAGTTGCTGTGCTTAGTCAGGTAAATGTCTCCAGTCTGCAGGTTTTGTCTCCATCTGTTCCTAAACGGGTTGTTGTGGGTTTGCGTGTTGTTGCTGTCGTTTTGTTCTTTGCTGCGCTGAGTGTTACGGCGTTCGACCTGTATCAAGGTACTATAAATTGTAACATATTCTTACATCAGTAAGAGCAACGCCATCTATCGTCGAATAGCAGTAACGAACATCAAAAGAGCTAGTAAAATCGAGAACGCTCGAGAAGTACAACGCCATCTATTATCAAATATTGGAAACACATATCGAAACCACTCGACCTGTCAGGAATGTTCTCGATAATTCTAGGGATGTTGTACCGACTATAAAAGCGTTGCAGAGATATCACGAAGGCAGTTAGTAATCGGATCTACTCGAAGCGAAACAACGAACGGATCACCTGAAGCGAAGCGGAAGAAGTGAATTACGAAGTGTAAAGTGTTCTGTGAGTGTTTTAAGTTTTAATAAACCTTTAATTTGTACTTAAGCCCCAGCGCGTAACAATACTCGTATATTGTTATGAAATTTATTCTTTACTGCACAACAAAAACAAAACATAGTTAACACAATTGTAACAATAAATAAACAGATTGGAGGTTTAGTGCCGAATGGGTAAGTACCACGTGACCTCCTGTATTTTTAAGTTCATAAGATAAGGGTCATAATGTAGATCGCACGTAGCTGTAAGGGTAAGAAGACAACACATTATCTTTAAATAACATTTCACTACTCACTGGCTCCTTGACTTTCTTGCTAATTTCCCGCAGTTGATACTCGACATCATGAAAGTGATACTCAGTCGAGGACTTGGCCGCGTCCACTAGCTGTGTGGTGGGGGGCGAGGGTCGTTCAGGTGGAGACTCGCTGAGGAGAATCACCGCTGATAGTTCCGATGAATACAACGATAGGGAAGTTTGGAGGCGACGCGACGATTCTGTAGGGCTGGACAAAAAATATTGAGAAAGGATTAATCTCAAAGGGTACAAATAAGTTATGATTTTTTTGTGTGGGCTACATGAGTCAATCAGCTCACAGCCCACGTGATGTTAAGTGGTTACCGGAGCCCATCTTGAGATATGAGTTCTAAGGTCTCAGTTTTTACAGTACAACGGCTGCCCCGCCCTTCAAGCCGAAACGCATTACTGCTTCACGGCAGAAATAGGCAGGGCGGTGGTACCTACCCGTGCGGACTCACGAGACGCCCTGCCACAGTAATTACGCAAATTATAATTTTGTGAGTTTAATTTTTATTATACGATGTTATGGTGCATGGTTGTAATGAGCCTTACAACCAGTAAATGTCAGTTGGCTATTTTTATTTATTTTTTATTGCTTAGATGGGTGGACGAGCTCACAGCCTACCTGGTGTTAAGTGGTGGTTACTGGAGCCCATAGACATCTACAACGTAAATGCGCCACCCACCTTGAGATATAAGTTCTGAGGTCTCAGTATAGTTACAACGGCTGCACCACCCTTCAAACCGAAACGCATTACTGCTTCACGGCAGAAATAGGCAGGGCGGTGGTATCTACCCGTGCGGACTCACAAGAGATCCTACCACCAATAAATGCGATGTAAAGGCGATGTCGGTATTTTGTTAGGAAAAGCTCACCCACTCTCATGTGAATCTCTGGGTCGCTCTTTACGACCTCAAAAGGAAGAGACAACGCGGTGCTACTCCAGATCACCGCACAGCCAAAACGACTCAAGAACTCTGTAGGCCAGGAACTTACTTGTCATGATCAACATTGCACAGGTCGAGCAGGTCCATAGCGACAATGCGAATGTTGTGCGTCTGTTTGAGTTGACTTCCGAGGTGTATGGTGAAGCTTTCTTCAAGACGAGGTCGGGTTGGAGCCTCGGGTAGGGATGAGCATGGAGACGGCGAGAATATACCCAGCGGAGAGTTGCTTAAATTGTTTAAATTAAAATTAATAAAATAAAATTTAAATTTAAAATTAAATTAAACATAACATTAAAACTAAAATTAAAATTAATATTAAATTGTTTAAATTAAATCAAATTCTTAAAATTAAATATCAGAGAACCGGACTCCAATAACTATACCCTTAGCGATTTGGTGTCAACTGGCCAGTACACCTCATATTGAACAGTTAGTGAAATTTATAGATACCAGAATGTGAATGTATTAATGCTAAAAAAATTTTCTTTTAAGTTAACATTTAAAAATAGAATATAATATGATTACTATTAGAAGAATCTAAAAAATAGATGTTCTTATACTTTTTTTTTATACTACAGTTATATTTTGAGGTCTTACACAAAAAGTTATTAGTTCAAAACTGAGGCAAGCACAGTAATTATTAGTAGAAATAAATTAAATAATGAAAATTTTAAATGCTTATGCATAAATATTATTTTGGTTCTAATATCAAATACTATTTTACTTCTATAATCACTGATTTCGCCAATACGACACTGTAGACAAATAATATTAAAGACGAACAATATTATATACTTATTTTCAATTTGACCACAGACTTTATGCAATAACAAAAGTTTGACAATGAGTTTACATAGGTGTGTGTGTGTCAAATACATGGTAGTGTGTGTAATGTTTTTATTTATTAATTTAATGTATTAATAATGCATAATTTAAAAAAAATTATTAGCTTTCTGCACTCTTCTCTATATTCTCTACAAGTGTGGGATATTCCATACTCCTCCGTCCGCGCAATTTTCGTAAAAAGGGATACAAAGTTTTTGCTTCACGTATTAATATATAGATAACAGTTAGTGGACAGTTTTAATTTGTAATTGTATACCTTGGTGTGTGCAAAGCTGATGTGGTCTGGTACTCCTGCAATGTCGCCATTAACCATGCTCTGTGATGTGTTCTTTGCGTTTGACACAAGGCGTCCAGCTGAGATCCCCATCGGCCTGAAACTAAGGCTTGCTCTTCAAACTGCTGGGTGGCTAATTCATTGATCTCAACTTCTGTGGTTGAAGTGTTCAGAAGACGAACTTTTTCTTCCATTTCTTCAGTTTGTCTGGTTATGAGATGAATGAGAAATTTTAGTTTTTTATTGATCATATTAAAATTTGTCCCTAATAATTAATATATTAAAACCGTTTTTGCAAAATATAAATTTATAACATAGCAATGTATTATGAAATATCTGAATTCATATTCTCACAGATATATCAAAAGGCAAAAGAAAGTTTACAGTATAATAACAATTATTAATAAGAAAAAAATTATATTCAATCATAAATTTTGTTTAACGTACATACTATTTTTTTATATTTCACCTTGTTATTTTAGTTGGATTACAGTGAAAAACTTACTTTTGTGTCAGTTTTACGATATCATCATCTCTATTCTTTAAGGTATTCATAACAGTTTTGGCATAGGAGTTTTCTACTTGCAGAATAGTCTCCAGTGCTGGTGAGTGTACTAATTTGTGGTATGCTACTGCAAATACCTAGTTAAAAAATAGTATCAACACAAATAATTTCAGAACTATGAAAATAAATGAAGATCCAACTTATTTTAATTTACTGGTGGTAGGACCTCTTGTGAGTCCGCGCGGGTAGGACCACCTATTTCGGCCGTGAAGCAGTAATGCGTTTCGGTTTGAAGGGTGGGGCAGCCGTTGGAACTATACTTGAGACCTCAGAACTTATATCTCAAGGTGGGTGGCGCATTTACGTTGTAGATGTCTATGGGCTCCAGTAACCAGTTAACACCAGGTGGGCTGTGAGCTCGTCCATCCATCTAAGGAATAAAAAAGAAAAAAAAATATAGACTTTTATTACCTCTTCATCTGGGGTTCCTTTTTGTTCTGCGAATTCCACAACATTCTCTTTAAAGAGCTTTTCCCATTTTTGAACAACGTCATCTAAATTTATTTCATTATTCTTTAATTTGTTCAATAATTCTTCATCTCTTTCGTTGTGAAATCTTTTTGTTTCGTCAGCTACAAATTCTGATAGTCTATCGTTTAATTCTAAAATAATTTATTTAAATGAGTACTTAAAAGCTATGAGCGTTTGAGATGATTTTAAGACTAGTTTTTAATGGGCGCTGATGTGCTTACAATTCATCTGATTATATATATTTATATCGAGGGGTAAATGGCTATTTGGTTTAAGCGTCATTTGGCTTAATATGCAGCATTTATATTTGTGATTAATTTGGTATTAGCATAGCGTTTTATTTGTTATTAGCATCAATATTTCGATGTTTCAAATTGAACTTCAATTGATTTTACTCCTTTGAAACAGCTGAAGAAATTTTTCGTTATGACAATTTTTCCAAATTATAAACTTTAATTGGCTCTCATGTAAAGTTGCAAAAATGTTGTTTAAACCAAATAGTATTTCACCCCTCAATATAAACTTAACTGTTCCCCATTAAATCACCCCGAGCGTAGATATTTTCTGGCATTCTTCTATTGGCCACACACATACAAGACATGAAAGTACTCTCTCTCTGAATAGTTTATTTATTAAACAAAGATACTGACTCCAAATGCAATTCAAACCTGAACCTAAAGTATTACTATATCAATGAGGCCATTCATAGCAAATGTGGTTGCTTTAAATTGTGATAACAGCCATCCCTACATTGAGGACAAAATCATTGATTACTTGGAGACAAATGGGTGACAAGATAGCAGTAAAAACTGTGAGTTTATTTTCCCATTACAGGTACTAACATTTTGAAGTGGTATACTGTTTGATTCAAATTTTCATGTCATTTATCAAGTCATATACTTAGCAGCTGACACTTTGTGAACTCTTGAGCCTGTCTAACTACAATGAAACCTTTGTGAACTTAACTCTTTTGACTTTAATATTCAAATTCGGTACATATATTTTGCGAAAGTAGGCGTCTCTGTTTTGAACATTATTTCATCGAGCTATTTAAGCTTTTCGGATTTTATTGTAATTTCTATTTTATTATTATATTAAATTTTCTTTTTCTTAGAGAGTAGTAAATGCGTAAAGTATATGTTCAAAGAGTCATTACCTTCTTCTAAATATACTGGAATGTGAAACATATTTATAACTCTTTGTACGAGCTCTCTCGTGGAACCATCATACGGAATATCCACAGGAACTTCTAGATTGAACAAGACATTTTCGTTCGTGCATGTTGGAAATGAATATTTAAAGGTTTTTGTTGTATTTTGAATTGTTTCCGAAATCATTGCTTTATGCAATCAGTTTATGTATGTACATACATTAATAACAAATAATAACAATGTAAGCTTGGACTTTTTTGACATTGAAAACTTCTAATTAAATAGTGGTTTAGTCTTTCCAGTACTCGAACGAAGTATGTAGGTATCATACAGCCCAATATTTCATTTGTTTTAAAGATAGGATAAATGAAACGGACCGAATACAATATTAAATGATGGATTTATAAAAATAAATTGAACACAATGATGAAGATGATATTAGATGAGACAATTATCGTTTCAATAAAGTGGTGGTAATCTATTGAGTGTTCCGATAACTGTTTGAATAAACCCGAGAAACAACGTTGTGATTTTGTCTAATTTACCGAAACTTATACATTTTCAGATAAAATAATCGGTTATTATATGATTACGTTTAAAATACGTCTACCATTATCGATTCCAGTAATTTTAGTGACGTTACCACTGATTCCCACTACATTAAGAGTAAAAGTTTTCTGTGCTTTAGATCCACTTAACAAGACCGCTTATTCTTTCTACAGTAAGTTTATAAACTGTAAGGTTTATAGATTATTTCAAAATTTATCGAGAACGCTACTTCTTCCACACTACTACTACTACCACCACTTTCTAATCAGCAGGAAGTAGCAACATCACCCTTTTCACTTAACATTGAAGTTTAAGCAGTTAAAATTACACAGTCCTCGGAGACTACGTTCTTCTGCTCCAAGAACGTATTAATTATATGTCCGACGAAAGAGTTCCATTCTATGTAGGATTTGAGCCTTTACCTCTTGTGAGTCCGCACGGGTAGGTACCACCACCCCGCCTATTTCTGCCGTGAAGCAGTAATGCGTTTCGGTTTGAAGGGTGGGGTAGCCGTTGTAACTATACTTGAGACCTTAGAACTTATATCTCAAGGTGGATGGCGCACTTACATTGTAGATGTCTATGGGCTCCAGTAACCACTTAACACCAGGTGGGCTGTGAGCTCGTCCACCCATCTAAGCAATAAAAAAAAAAGACAAAGAGAATGAGTTGTGGTCAGTAGTGGTTGTTGTCAGTGGTTAGTGGTTATTTATAATCTAATTTTTGATGTAATATATACGCAGGAATCTGCGTGCAAGTACCAATTTTTAATACTAAAGTACGTATTTCACGTACGTTCATGAACGGCTTTCACGCTGAATGAAAGATATCACAGAAAAATTAACTCCATCAATTTATAAACTTGAATAATTAGGTACTGTTGGTAGATCGGCTTGCTATTACCTATCAATTATTGCTGCCTAGACGCAACCAGGTGTTTCAGTTAGAAAGTTGGGACAACAAACAGTACAATTGAGATTTTGAATTCATATCATGTATTGAGTGGCGGATATAGTGTAGGAATTAATTCCAGAGTCTGGTAAAATCTTTGGCCTAATCATCAGATAGCAATGATTAAAAGAATAATCGAAAATGGCCAATTTGAATGTTTCACGTGTTTAGGCAAGATAAGCATATACATGGGTATGTATATCTGCTAGTTTGATTGTTCGTGAAGGGATAAATAGATAATAAAATAAAAATAGAAAGAAAAAAGCATTCGGTAGTGATTGAGAACAAGCTCAGAATAGATTGAAACAGAATATTTACTCCACATGGTGTAGAATGAGATGGATGTGGATGGATAGGAGATAGAGTGGTCCTAACTAATGATCAAGCTGTGGCAAAGGGAACTGGGCCTTCACGGTCACGCCACTCATCAAAATGGGCAAGACCTTTAATCTTTCTTTGGACTAATGGAACAAGTCATGAGTGCATATGCGCGAGTGTGAGTGTTAAGTGTAATAATAAGATAAATTTTGTACAAAATACACCCAATGGGTTTTTCGTCATTTCATTCAGACTTTAAGTAGCTTTATTGGTAAAATTAATATAATGAACACATAGCATTCCACAGAATCCCATTTCAATCAAACAGTAGCACAATTTGGTAATAGTAGAACTATATTTTCATTATATATAAATAAATAAAAGTTGGAAACAATAAATTATTATGTATGTAGAAAATTAAAATAAAAAAGTTTGGTTCATATGGTGATGTTTAATCCGAGTGAACCGTGGCCGGGCGTGATGACTGCGGCTGGCGTCTTAGACCTTATAGTAGAGATGGAATCATTACGCGGCTTCACCACCTTCCTCCTCCTCAGCGCTGGCGGTCAGCATGGCGATCAGCTTGGTGGTGTCGATGTAACCCTTGTCGTCAATGTCCATCTGGTCGTAAGCCTCGTCGACTTCGTCGGCGGAGAACTTGTCGCCCCAGGTCATGAGGGCGTGCCTGAGCCTTTCAGAATCGATCTTTCCCTCTTCATCGAAGGTCTTGAAGGCGTTGATAACGACGTCATCTTCGTCAGAGCCGCCGGACATGCGGTTGGCGAACAGAGTCAAGAGCTGAGTGAAGTTGATGGGGCCAGAAGCCTCACCGACCATCTCATCGAGCTCCTTCTCGGACGCGAGCCTGCCCAGGGAGTCGAAGGTGGCGCGCAAGTCGTTCTTGCCGATGATGCCATCCTTGTCGTGATCCATTAGCTGGAATGCCTGTTGAAGAACCAATTCTATAATGACCATATTATGTGAACATAGACGAAGACAATATAAAGTTATTAGAAAAATCGGTATTACACAATTTTTGCTTCAAAAATTTGCGTGTTCTCTAATCTGGGCCAAAATGTAATCTTATATAAAGTTCCAATATAATGGTAACACATAAATGTTTACAAAACACGAAATGCGGCACGAGCTATCGAGAAACACGTGTGCGATTCCAGAACTTATAGCGATATGACGTAATATCTGTTTGTTTGAACTAAAGGATGTCCTTAACATATTTCTAGTAACGGTGTATTCTATTTTTGGAACTTCGTCTTAGAGAATCTTATTATTTTGCTCGTATCGCATATAATACTGGTTACTGGTGGTAGGACCTCTTGTGAGTCTGCACGGGTAGGTAGCACCACCCTGCCTATTTCTGCCGTGAAGCAGTAATCCGTTTCGGTTTGAAGGGCGGGGCAGCCGTTGTAACTATACTGAAACCTTAGAGCTTATATCTCAAGGTGAATGGCGCATTTACGTTATAGATGTCTATGGGCTCCAGTAACCACTTTACACCCGGTAGGCTGTGAGCTCGTCCACCCATCTAAGCAATGAAAAAAATCTTAGTTGCGGTTCAATATTTTTTGGATGGAAAAGATCTAATTTCTGAAAGTGGTCGTTGGATGTAGGTTATGGATTTTTGTGTAGTTTCTAACCTCCTTGAACTCGGCGACCTGCTTCTGTGAGAACATAGAGAAGACATTGGATCCGGTGCGCTTAGCCTTGCGGCTTCCGCGAGAGGATTGCCTGTCACCGGCGGGAGCGGCCGCTGCTGGGGCCTCTTCGGCGGGCGCGTCTTCTTTCGCCTTCTTCTTCTTTACCTTCTTGTCCTTATCCGCCTGAAAATTTGAAAATCACATCAGTACTCTGTTTTTGTTCAGTTACTCTTTCAGTCAATTTGTTTCGAACCCCAAAGTCGTGAATACCCATTAGATGCAGTGAAATAAATTTCAAGATGTATTTAAACAGTAGCTAATTTTTGTTCAGTGGCTCTTGCAGTAGTTTTGTTTTAAATTCCATTAAATACAATTCAATATTTATTGACGTTACAACAAATGTGAACTTAAGCAATTAAGCGTGTTAAATCATTTGAGAAAGAAACAACTAATTAGATTGTTCTATCACTACAATTCTCATCATTGTTGGTACGGATTGAAGTTTTAAATTCGACTATAATTCTGCAAAACCACGTATAGTTTTAATTATATTTTATTTCGGCCATAATTTCTTACATTTCCAATCTTTCATCGCTTTAGTCCAGTTTAGGCGGAACAGCGCAAACGCCTCTAAATTTAGAACCATCTCTCGGATTCTCTTACAGTTGCCAACTCCCAAGCGTTTCGTTGCGTAAAAGTCTTATAAATAGACCGTTAAATCCGCGGCTTTTAAATTACGAAAATAACATCAATTAAAATGTCGGCTTGTAATTAAAATTAATATGTTCATTGGCTACATTTTTTAATTTTCAGGTATATATTATTATGTTTCAGTACGCCATTAGTTGACATAGTCGATTGTAACCATAGTTCCAAAAGTCGAAATATTTTCAAAATTATTGAATGTTCTTTAACTATATTGAATTCAGTTTAGGTTTTCTTTTAGTTCTATTCTATCACTATTGTTTTTCGTAGTTATTTTATCTTCGCGAGCTAGATCGTTAAATTAAATCGTCAAAGTTTATTTTTATGAACTAAAATTGTTTAAGGTCTTCACTTGTTTGATCACTTCGTTCACATAACACTGTCCACTATGTCCCTTGGGACCACTCAGACTTACCATTTTGCTGTGTGTTGGACGATCGACGAAGAAGAGACTGTTTCGATCGGCAGTCCCGCCCTGACTCCGACGTTTGATTCTCACTCTTGAGTCCAGGAGGAACCCCCCTCCCTCCACTTCGCCAATCGAGCGCAGCCGATTCCATATTTAGTTCGACAAATGGGACAGTCTTCGATTCCGTATCAGAACTGTTTCGTCTGCGGGGCGGCTCGCCCGTGGTTTTGGTTTGTTCAGTTATAAAAATAATCAGCTCACCTGACCGTCGCTCCGTTTTAGCTTCCTGGATATTTTTCGTTTGAATAATTCCTATTATTACTATATACTAAATAGCTTTGCATTTTTTCAAGAACAATTGTCATTTTTGGTTTCTACAAGTTTCATTGTGAGACGTATTAAGTAATTCTTATTAATTGCGTTTCAAACTTCAGTTCGCTCATTACACATTTACTTTTTAATTTTCGATCCCAGCCGTAGGATTTATTTTTTAAACGAAGTGCATGTAACGTTTAAATTTAATTTTGTCTGTAGAGTAGCTTCCTTTTTTCCATTATTAGTGTTGCACAACGAAGGGATATCAATCAGTCTATCTTTATTTGCATTTATTATCG